ATACACAGGGCTTACCTGGCTGTGTGTCCCTGCTCCTGCTGGCTGTCTGCAGGAAGGAGCCTTCTGGTGGCAGCTCCCTGAGGGTGAAGGTGGATCTGCTGGTTCTCTCTGCCCATGTTGGCCACCTGCAGGACATGGCCTTTTGGTGTTGGCACTGGCAGGCAGAGGCTGATCTCCTGGTTCTCTGGGCCCTTGCTGGGCACACAGAGGAACACGTAGATGCTCTTGCACACATGTCAAGTCCTATAGTACAGCATTCTGCCAATATAAACATTTTGGAAACAGGTATGTAAGTATAAACTTTATAGTATTTGCTTATAGGTTATTTAACGTGGTTCAAAAGAATCACTATTAAAGATAGGAATTTTTATACATTAGTTTTTGACTCCCAGTTTCTCTTTACCATATGGACTAGATTCAAACTTCCTAACAGACCAACAGATGAGCTGGTGCCAACAGATGGGGAGGACAGCCGTGTGATATTCCATTTTGATGACTAAAATGTTAAATCTCAAAAAAGGCCACAGTACCAGTGCTTGTAGTAAAAATTACTTTCTGCAGTTGGAGCTGTAATCATGCCAGTGATTTTCCCTCTATGCTGCGTTCTAGGGTCATGCCACACCATCATGTCTGCAGTGTCAAATGCCCTGTGTATATAGATGACTCACCATTCTCTGACACACTCTTGATTCTTCCTCTTCTACCATTGCTTCTTTTCTCTTCCTCAGCTCTTTCGCAAGTGTAGATGTGGATTTCTAATTGCTCACCAGAATTCTCTAGCTATATAAAGTACAAGCACTCCTAGTGTACGTGTCCAAAGCCAACGTTATCTTTATTCCAACATCTACTTTACATTTTCCGTGGTCAGTGATTTCCATAGGTCATCAAAACTTCAGCCTTTAGAAGCATTGACCTCCCCTAGTTATGTGTGTTCCTGCCTAACACTCATTCCTGTTGATTCTGCCTGTGAAGTGTCTCGCATTTTTATTCCTATTGCCTATATCCTGTTTCAGACCCTTTTGTGTCTCACATGCTTTTATGTCTGTATTCACCTAGTATTTACAGCCTCCCTATTTTGTAGAGGTTTAGTGTGAGACTGTGTCTTATGCCTTTCTCATCAAAGACTGAGAGAGGTATATCTTTTCTCCTAAACAGGCTGCAAGGTTAGCAGTCCACACTTGAGCTGTGTTGTGAGTAAAATACTTATCTCATTTAGTGCTCACTGCAGATCTTGGAAACAAAAAGGGAAACAGGCAGAGAGATGAGGTGCCTAATCAAACGCTGATAACACAGGACACTGGCTGGTTTAAGTCCTGCCTGAAACAAAGTGAGGCTATCTATAAGTACACAAATCCTCTTGTGCAAAGTAATAAAAGAAGAGGGCACTCAACAGTGAGCCCTTGGGAGATGGTTTAGAGCAAGCTATTTTCGAAGTGAAGAAATCTTGAGTGTAAAATTTGACACCCTGGGGTTTCTTCTCTGACTTTTTCTATTATCCCTAATTTGATAGCTTTGTTTTGTAGTAACTTGGTGTCATTGAGTCTGCCAAAGCATAAGAGATTTTCTTGGAAACATGGAGTTTTAAATTATGTGTTTTAGTTAACATGTTTATTTTGAAATAATTGTAGGTTCATACGCTGTAAGAAGTACAGACAGATTGGTTCTGAGTTCTTTTACACAGGTCCTCTAGGGTAATATCTTGCATACTATTTTGCAGTACTACAACCAAGACAGTAATATTGACACAGTTGAGATACAGAACATTCCCAGCCCACAGAGGCCCACCAGCTGCCCTTCCTAGTCATATCCATATCCCTCAGAAACTACGGCTCTGTTCTAGAAATTATTTTAAGGAAGTGGGTTGACTTTGACTCAACATAAATCTCTGCAGATTCATCCAGGTTGTTGTATATATCATTCTCTTTTGTGCTCAGGAGTGTTCCATGGTATAAACGGATGCTGATTTATTTAACCACTCTCTCACGGAAGGACATCTGTGTTATTTCCAGTTTAGGGCTCTAATGAATAAAACATCTGTAAATATCAATGTGTAGTTTTATTTATTTTTTTGATGGTGGTGGTGGTACTGGGGATTGAGTGCGGGATTACCAAGATACATTCCATTTTTATATTTTTAAGTTTTGAGACAAGGTCCTGCTAAGTGATCCAGCCTGGCCTTGAACTTGTGATCCTCTTGCCTTAGCCTTCTGCGTAATTTGGGATTACAGGTATGTGCCATCACACCTGACTCTTGTGCACGTTTTGTGTGAGCACAAACCTTCATTTCTCTGGGGTAATTACTCAGGAGTACAATTTCTGGGTCATATGGTAGTTTTTTAATAAGAATTTTTTTATAAGAATGACAAGATGTTTTCCAAAGTGTTATATGATTGTCTGCTGTACTAATTATGAATAATCCAGCTTCTCAGTGTCCTTAGCAGCATTTGGTGATGTCACTACTTGTTTACCTTATCAGAATAATTGCTTCACATCTGTCCTCACCCTAAAACATCTTCTTTAGTGCTACTAGATTTCACTTTTAGATATGTGACTTAAATTCTGATAGAAACATGGTACATACATGGATGCATCTACTTTAAGGAAAAATCTTGGTTAGAATTTTTGTAAAGTGTCCATTAAGTTGGTGGTTAAAGTTAGGTGAATGGATGAAATGCCTAAACAAAATGGCTGAAAGACAAAGAAACAGGCTGAGGACAGAGTCCTGAGAAGCACATGTGATTAGGGTTGTGTGACTGAGTTGGGAATGTACTCTAAAAGAAAACAAAAATAGCTGTCCATGGTGGTATATACTTGTATCACAGCACTTGGGAAGCAGAGGCCAGAGGAATTACGGTGAGACCTTGACTGAAACCCTGTATTTAAATATATATATTACAGCATCAGATACCTGAGATACGGTTCAATAGGAATACTAATACCGTATCTCTTGCCTTGTATCTGAAGGAATCACTGTTGATATTTGCTCAGCAGTTTCAGTGGAAGTGAGGGAAGAAACCTGAGGATATCTCTTGAAGCAAAAATGGGAAGTAATGAAGTAGGGAAATCATTGAAGACCATTTTTGGACTAAAGAGTATAAAAGAACTAGTAATATCTAGAAAACTGAAAAAGTCTTAATAGGGGAAATGTTTTTAAACTGATTCAATTAGTGTCAGTAAAGAGACTGAAAATACTGGGGAAAATCTTATAAATTGTCAACAAAACATATAATACTCCAAATCTTTTTTTTGGTCTTTTTTGTTTTTATCGGTACCGGGGATCGAACTCACGATTGCCTGCTTGCAAGGCAGGCACTTATGCCGCTGAGCTAAACCCCCAGACCCAATACTCCAAATCATTTTAATGAAAAGATACATAGAAGAGAGATTTATGGAGCAAGGGTTCTGTGAGGTGAGGTAAGGGACTGAGTAGAGTCCGGGGTTAGAACAGCCACTGAAGGGTGGGTGATGGTGCTGATTAAAGTATGTTAAATAGGACTGTTGAGTCTGAGAAAAGGATGCCTGTTTGTAGGAGTGTCAGTTTTGTACACCCTGCTCTAAGAAGAGTTCAAGGAGTGATCTGGAGAACAGGAGCAGAATGGAAGAGAATAGGTTCTAAATAGAAAATAGACACTAGAGTTAAGATTTCAGAGATGCAGGAGACAATCACAAGCTCTGAGTGAGCAGGTTAATGAAAGAGATGGAAGGCACTATGTTTCTTAAGATCCTGGAGTTTTCATTTTATCTTGAAATTTATGGAAAATCAAATCTTTCAGAAAAGACTAGTGGGTGTATGGATAATGGATTAAAAGGGGGTGATACTGGCAGCAGTCAGGGACACAGCTCATTGCTACAAATTTTGGTGCAAACCAGAGGGTCTTGCTTCAGGAGGGAAGCTTTCTGTCACAATTTCTACTTCTTTCACTAAACCCACTTAATTCAATTAACATCCCTGACCCCTTAATGGGAATTGAACACAGGAATCACTGAGCTATATGTCAGCCCTTTTCCTTTTATTTGAACACAGGTCTCCTTAAATTGCCCAGGCTGGCCTGACTCTTGAGCAGCTGAGACTGATTGCAGGCATGCATCACCATGCCCGGCACTAAACTATCTTGGGCTCCTGGAAAGATCACATCTCCTCAGCTGTGTTTTGTTTATAGTCATCATTGCTATATACAATTAGAACTTAGTTTTCTGGATTATACAGAGGAAAAGCTGACTTGATGTTTTTATTATATTGAAGTTATGGGGTCATATATGGCTACAGTGGATGGAAATAGTGTAACCCTTTTCCTTGTTTTTCCACTACTTTTCTGAAAGGATCTGGACAATTTTTTGAAACTGACATACCAATTCTATTCAATGTTTCTATGTTCTGAAAATATATCTTTTATATTTTTGTTCTGTCAGATTGGAGTTCCTTCATGTTAACCTGAATCGAACTCATCTTGTTCCTAAAAATCCTTGTATTTTGCTTAAAAATATATGTTTAAGAAATGTTCAGTGAGTGAATGAATGAACGATGGTTCCCATATACGAGAGAACTGTGTGCAGACTGTGATCTCACGGTTCCAAAAATCTCTCCTAAAACGGGTTCAGTTGTGATGCCTACACAGTTCTTGGACTAACTAAAAATGTCACTCAATCCAGCTACGCTTAATTTGGAAGCAGCTGTCATAAAACAAGAGGCAGGCTCAATTTTCCCCTACTAGAAAAGGGGCGGGACACTGTTTTCCGTACAACAACATGGCACCCCCCTGTTGACGCTGGGCCGTGGTGTTCCCCTCGAGGGAAGAAGCGGAGTATTTTCCGTACAGAACTATGGCTGCCGCCTACAGAAGTCGGTCATAGCCTCACGCCCAGGGAAAGGGGCTGCCGTAAAGGTAGTGCCGCTTCCTCTTCTTCTCCCGCCTCCCACCGGCTGTCGTAAAAGGGTGAATGGAGAGCGAGTGGGGGGGAGAGGGAAGACGGGGGGTGCAGAGTCGGAGTCGCACAGCAAGTGGTTGCAGGTGGCGACGGTGGCGGGGGTTGGGGTGGGGAGTGAGGTAGTTTAGGGCGCGCGGCAGAGGAGGCCGCGAAGTTCCCGCGAAAGCTAAAGCTGCAGTCAGGCCTACTCGCCCGGGGGCCGCGGAACCCCCGGCCGGGGAGATGGACCTCAACCGGATCATTCAGGCTCTGAAGGGCACCATCGACCCGAAGCTGCGCCTCGCTGCGGAGAACGAGCTCAACCAGGTGAGGAGTGGCGGCCCCGGACGCCGCCCAGTGGGCCCGGCCCGGGCCGGCTCGCGCACCTGTTGGGCAGCGCGGTGGCGCCAGTCCTCGCCGGCCGGCAGCGAGTTGGCCTCGGCCGCCGCGCGCCTCTGGCCGGCGCTCCCGGGTGCGGGAGCCGCTCCCTGAGTGCGGACTGGGGGGGACGGGGACGGGACACTCGCTGCCCAGCGCCGAGTTCAGCTCTGCTCGAGGCCAGCCCTTTTTAGGTGTTGCTGTGGGAAACCCTGCCCATCGCCTCGCCTGCCTGTGCTCGCTGGGCAGCACTGTTTAAACCCGGAGAAGCAGAGTTTGTGGCAGTTCTGGGCAGTGCTGTCCGGGGACAGCTCCTGGAAGAGCAGGCGGCTTTCCTGTGTTGTATCAAAGACACATCTAATGTTTGGAGAGATCTTTCTTTCTTTCTTTTTTATTTTGGCCGTACTGAGGATAAACCAAGGGCCTTACTGCTCCCAGGCAAGCACTCAACTACCAAGCTACATGCCTAGCCTTATTTTAATTTAATTTAATTTAACTTTATGAGACTGTCCTCTCGTGCTGCACTCCCAGCCTGTTTTGTTGATTTGAGACAGGGTCTCATTAAGTTGCCCAGGCCGGTCTCGTGGAATTTGCGATCTTCCTGCGTCCTTCTCCGGGAATAGCTAGAATTTCAGAGGTCCCCACAAGGCCAGGTGGTTCTTTTAAAAGCTAAAATGTGTTAAGACTTAGTTTTATCCTCCATTCTAGCAGGCTTTGACCTCATCCCTGACATTTCAAAATTTTAATGAGCCCAAAGGCTAGTCGTTTTTTATATATATACCACTGACCTCTTATTAAAAGGTTCAAAATTAAGATCTATCCCTCAGAAAGAGAGAAGGCGATTTGAGGTTGTGATAACACTGAAACATGAAGGAATATTCTTGAATTGGGGGTTCTCAAAGTGTTGCCCACGGCCAGAAACATCAGTGTCACCTGGGAACTTGTTGGAAATGCAAGTTATGGGGCTTTGACCCACACTTTTAAAGAATCAGAAACCGGGTGGGCGTGGGGGTGGCGGTGGAGAGTGGAAACCAGTTGTGTTTAGCCAGTTTGAACTGTGATTCTGGGTTCCTAAAGTGTGATAACAGCTGTCTTGAGTAAATGTTTACATTGGAGTTGATTTTGATAGGGTTGTGGATCTTTGAAACGGATTATCTGAATTGGAAATCTATGTGGAGTTTGGAGCAGAAGCAAATCCAGGATTCCCAAGAGATATAAGGTCAGCGGAACCCCTGCTGGAACGGAAGATGTGTTGGATTGAAGCCCGGCATGCCTCAGAAGGAAGGGACTGCCACCCAGAGTAGGGAGAGTTAAAGTCGGTTTCTGTCCCTAGCCTTCCTAGCGCTGCAGTTGATTGGCTGGAGGAATAGCAATCCGTGGGTTAGTTAAGAAGAACAAAACAAGATCCAAACTTGGAATCTATTAGTATGAACAGGAGAGGAGGCCAGAGGTTACTTTGATAGTGTCAGCAGGGAAAATATTTTTGAATACTTTCCTGTCCTTATTAGCCTATTCTTGCTTTGTTTCTGATTCTTCAGTGTGTGAGTACAGTGCATGTCACAGGAGTGGAGAAGGTAGGGAGGAAGGATTGCAGAACTAGGAGATATCTCAGTCCTATTTTTTTGTTCGTAGTGTTTCAATCCATTTCATCCAATCCAGTCTAATTTCATCTTCACCCTGCCCTATATCTGTCCAACTCATCATGGACTATTTCCCTGAAACTTCTAAAGAATAGCTTATTTATGCACAAAGTTCACTGTAGCACTAGATAAAGTTAATTATCATGCTGTTTATTTAGCATTTATATTTTATGTAATGTTTTGGATTCTGAGATGCTCTTAAGTTTTTTGGAATTGTCTGTACCAAAGTAAAATGTCACTTACCCTTATTGTAAAACACAGTTATGTTTTTGATTTGTTTTGCTTTGTTTTTTTGAGAAAAGGTCTTGCTGTATAGTTCAGGCTGGTTTGGAATGCACTATGTTCCTCAAGCTGTCCTCAAACTTGCAGTGCTCCTCCTGCCTCAGTCTTCTGACAGCTGGGATCCAGCCATGTGCCATTATGCTGGCTTGTTGAGAATGTATGCTTGTCCTTTTTGTGTTTTCTTTATGGTACTAGGGAGTGCGCCCAAAGCCTTCACACTGGCTAGTTCCCTAGCCTTCCCTAGCTAGTTCCCTTCACACATCCCTAGTTTGTTTATTTATTTTTGAAACAGGATCTCACTAAGTTACTGTGTTGCCCAAGCTGGGTTTGAACTCAAGATCTCCTGCCTCAGCCTCTCAGAATGTTGGGATTATACATAGGCATGTGCCACCAAGTTTATTTGTATATTGTCCTTTACCAAACTGTGATATCTAACTTTATCTTTTGTGGTTTTTTTTTTTTTTTTTTTTTTTTTTTTTTTGTCTTTTTCCTTTTTATTGGTACCGGGGATCGAACTCACAACTGCCTACTTGCAAGGCAGGCGCTTATGCCGCTGAGCTAAATCCCCAGGCCCTGTCTTTTGTGTTTTAAAAAAATGTGTTTATTTTTGTGATGTTGGGGATGGAACTGAAGACACTGCACATGCTAGGCAAGCATTCCAGGCCCTGCCCCTGCACTGTGCTCTCCTGATCTCCCCGTACCCAGCACAGGAGGCCAGCGGCTCCTCGGGTTGCTCACAGATTGGCATGTCTGCTGTGAGGAGGGCAGGCAGCCTCATCTGCACAGCCTGTGTTCCCAAGGGTAAATTCTCCTCTCCTCGGAAGGTCTGTTGTCTCAGGCCCACATCTTTCTCTTGCCAGTGACTGGCTTCCTGTCTGCCATCTGTGACACTGTTTCTATGGGAAATGGATTTCAGTTTTTTTCTCAAGATGCTAACAGTGAGTCTTGCTTGCCTTCCTAACTTTTTCTCTACCACAAGTCCCCATAGCTTCAGTGTAGAGGGTTTGGGCAGGGCGTCTTGCTTAGTAACTCATCCAGAAAGTGGTGTTCCTTTGATAAATCATCCTCCACTTGTCTGTCCTCAGCAGCGAGATAAACTTTCACTGCAAGTTTTGGAATCTCTGCTTGCCATGTATCTGTGGGCATCTTTTACCTTTCCACCAGGCCCAAGTGCTGAACCCAGGGCTCACCACGTGCTCCGCAAATGTCCCACTGAGCTCTGCCTCCTGCAGCCCATCGTGCTCTGTATGAGTCATGTATTTATTGAGCTATGGCACAGGTGGTGCTTTCTCGAGGATCATAGCCAGTGAGCTTCAGAGAGGTCACCTGTGCGCAGAGGTGGTGCCCAAGACCGTGTGTGGGGAACCTGTAGACCACTGCGACAGAGCAGGGGGACAGCAAGCTCAGGAGAGACCCTCATCCAGGATATTGGGGACCAGGAAGGGTAGTGCAGTTAGAGCAGTGAGTGAAGAAATGGAAAGGCAGCAGGAATTCACTCTGTGCAGGTCCTCATAAAATGTGGAACTTAGCTAAGCAAGAAAACTGTCAGAAAATGTTACAAAGTAACTATCCTCAGTAAACCATTGAGAAAAGAGTTGTCTTATTTTGTTAGAAACTTGGAGGAGCAAAGCCATTGGGTAATACTTGTGAGGAAAATTGTATGAGAGTATATTTAAATTATCCCTGAATGCTTTAGCTGCCAAAGTAACATAGATTGAATCCAAACTGGAAGAGGACAGTCTTGGAAGTTTTGAAAGTGGCACACAAAATGTGTACATACCAATTATGTGGAAATTAAATAGCTACTTTCAAATAAGTAGCTTACTTTTAATGCAAAGCTTTTTTTTTTATTTACCTGTAGTAAGATTTAAAAAAAAAACAGTTTTTATAATTGAAATGAACTATATGTATTTTATTTTGATTTACTGAAAGATCTCTCAGGAAAAGTAATAAACTCAAGTTCTTTTGTAAACACATGCAGAATTTGTAGAAAGCTTCATTGAATGCCTATTAATTTTTCTCATGTAAGCTGCTGTTAAAACAAATCAGTTTTTAAAATTATTGTAAGATGCTGGCGGTTTCAATTACGGATAAAAAAGAATTTATCTCAATTATAACACATTTAAGATTTTGAAGGTTGTGGATGAAAGGAAGAATAATTACAAGGTAATTGAAAATTTAATGAAGGATATGGTATGGAAAGACTTGAAAAGCAGTATCCCCAGGTGGAAAAGATCAGTACTTTGGAGATGTTAATTTTTTAGTGATTAGTGCTTGCTTAAGCATTTACCTTAACAAATGCTACCAGAAATAAATTATAGGAAGCGATTGAGTAAAAGTGTGAAGGCGTGCACAAGCCTAGATGCACACTGAAGGGGGCACTGCCATAGGTCCAGGCTCTGTCCAGGGGAAGGGGCACCGCCTGATTTGTTTCAGGAGTGTCCTGGGCACAGTTCTGTGGGCTCTAGGCTCAATGCAGGGAAGCCCGGGCACTGACCTCTGTACAGGGCATGGATGGAAGGAACAGGTTGTGCCGTTTTAGTTTTTTGTTTCTGAGGTCATGATGGCCAAACTCGGGAGCAGACCAGAGTGAAACCTGCCTGGAAGGTGAAACGAGGGGCAGCAGGGTGGAGTAGGAGCTCGGTCAGCTTTGTCTAGAACACCACGCACAGTAGCTAGTAGAGGGCTGCTGTGAGCGAGCTAGTGGCCCTGGCTCCTGGTCTCAGTGCGGGCTCCTCCTGGTCTGCCTGGTGTGCAGTGACAGAGCACCTGTGTTCAGTAGATGATTTTTCTGTTTTTGTGTCATCAACAGAATTGAAGCACAAACAATCTGGGAAGAAACACTTGTGATGCATAGGTCAAATAAAAGACTGAAACTTTAATTGCATAAGTAGCTCTTAGAATTAAGAAAAAACCCAAATATCCCATTTACAAAGGGATAAAGCATGTAAGTACTTTGTGGAGGAAACAGACAACAAGAAAGAAAACAAACTGAGGCTGGGGATTTAACTCAACGGCCATAAGCGCCTGCCTTGCAAGCAGGCAGTTGTGAGTTCGATCCCTGGTACCAATAAAAACGAAAAAGACAAAAAAAAAAAAAAAAACAAACAAAAAAAACCAAACTAACAAAAAAGTTTTCTCCCCCACAAAAACAACCAGCAGCTTCTTTAGTGGTAAAGGAATGTAATTTCAGAGGTTTTAGAGTTTCAGAGGACTGCAATACTGTACATGTATTAGAGAGATGGTATACACATACATAAATTTAAGGTGTGTAAATTGGCACACTCCTTCTGGAGAGCATTTTGGCAGACTTGAGCTTGAAAAGAAATCATTTGCACCTGAAGTATTTCGGTAATCTTCATTTATCATTGGAGAAGTTCTCTCATGTTAAAAGTTTCTTTTGTTTGGCTAAGTAATGTATTCAGTAGGAGGTGCTAGTAGCTATTCATGCAAATTGCTTTCATTTATGAAAACATTTGTTTGTAATTTCAGTCCTACAAGATTATCAATTTTGCCCCCAGTTTACTTCGGATTATAGTCTCTGACCATGTAGAATTCCCAGTACGCCAGGCAGGTGAGTTGGTTTTCTTTTTTATCCTTTATAAATACTTTATTTACAGATGAAAGTAGAATGAGAGTTTTAAATTCTAAGTATCTATACTTTTGTTTTTAAAAAATTAAGCACCCATGAAGTATTTCCAAGGCATGCAAACTCACTTGCTTTTCCACAGAAATGCACAGGTAGGCACTGAGCACACACCTTCCCTGGCTGCCCCTGCCTGCTTCTGCCACCAGTTCTGACCGTCTGTGATGTCACCCCATGTCCTTGAGCTTTCCCAACTTGGATAGCTTGTCTCCCTAGTCCCCTGTGGTTTCCCCAGAGCCTCACCTTTGGCCTCGCAGGTCAAGACTGGAAGTAAGTGTGTGTAGAGTGTCAGCTGTTCCTCCGCCTGGTCTCATGGCCGACCAGGAGCTGCAGCAAAGGACCACTGCCTTGCACCGTGGTGGAGTAGTCACTACATGTTGTAAATTGCAGAAAGGAACAGAATTCAGGAGGGGCTGGGGATTTAGCTCAGTGGCATAAACACCTGTCTTGGAAGCAGGCGGTCTTGAGTTCGATCCCCGATACCAATTAAAAAAAAAAAAAAATTCTGTTCAGAATTCAGAACTTCAAGCATGGTCTCTACAACTCTGCATATTGCTTTTGCATGGTTCTAAAGTAAAAATATAAGTTAAACCATGGCAAGCCACCATAATCATTAGATGAATATAAAACAATATAGAACACAAAAAAGAATAAAATTCTTTATCACTCAGAAGTGACCATCACTGACATTAGGTGAGTATTAGTCTTGATGTATTCAAATGGAAAGTATTTTTATAGCTATGTGGTCACAACTACTTTCTGATAAAGTGTTTAAATTCATTTGAACACAAAGGAATACTAAACTTTGGGAAAATGTTTCTAGAAATATACAGTGTCACTCTCTTGACATGGACATATCTGAGAAACAAGTTGTTAGTTTCATGACTGCAAACATCAGAGTGATGTTCCATAAATATATATATAGTGTAATAGAGCTGTGGCTGTGTAGTCTACTGTTCACAGAAATATGATTACTTGGCCCACCACTGAGTGATTTCCTAAAAGATTCCTCTGTGATTAAGGCAAAAACAAAAAACAGTGGGGAAAAGGTCATGTTGTAATTGTTGTTTACCTAAAGTATATAAAGCTTCTATGTAAATTTTTGCAACTGTCTCAATTGTTTAATCTTTGTAATAAAGTAGGGCTATTTTGAAACTACGTTTTGCTAAATGGAACTGTTCTATTTTTTGGTACTAAGAATTGAACTCACAGGGGCTGGGGATTTAGGTCAGCGGCATAAGCGCCTGCCTTGCAAGCAGGCAGTCGTGAGTTCGATCCCTGGTACCAATAAAAAAAATGAAAAAGACAAAAAAAAAAAAAAAAAAGAATTGAACTCATGACCTCATGCTTGCCAGGCAGGTACTTGTGCTACTGAGTTAAATCCCTGGTTTCTTTTCTTTTCTTTCTTTTATTCTGAAATGGAGCTGTTTTAATAATCTAAGTATTTATAGCACCGTTGTGAAGTTCTTGTGAAGCTTTTTAGAAACAACATTTTAAAAGATCTTTATTAATGTGTTGTTTATATGACGTATCAACGTTACAGAAACAGTTTATACATAAAGTTGCTCTTAATGTTCTCAACTAGGTTGCTGCTGTCAAATTTGATGCATAATTAATTGTTTTCTGTTTATGACATAAATATAATTCCTTGGATTACTCTATGTTACTGTGCATACATATGAGGTGTGATACAAGTATATGATGAATTTTTAAAATGTGTTACAGTAAAAGATACAAGACTATTAATCTCCCTCAAAATAGACTCCCTCTCTTCAAGCACACTTGCCCATCTTTCTTAAAGTTGTGACGTCATCTTCCATGGATGTCTTTATGAAGTGTGATCAAAAATATTGCAAATACTGCTACTGAGTGGTACCCAACAGGAAGGCAAGATCATAAAAATACTAGTGTCCTCATTCACCTTATTCACCAGATCCAGCTCTTCCTCAAAGTTCAAGTGATCATGAAATGTAAAAGTTTTGAATTTGATTCAGGACAGTCATGAAAGGACTGTTGGGACTGCTTCTAGAAGTGGGGTTAAAGAAACCTCATAACAGAGACATGGAACCGGGTGTGGTTGCTCACACCTGTAATCCTAGTAGTCGGGAGGCTGAGGCAGAAAGATCATTGTAAGTTCCAGCCCAGCCTGGGCTACAAAGTGAGCTCAAGGCCAGCCTGAACTGCATAGAGAGATCCTGTCTCAAACAAAACAAAACAACACAACCCCCCAAAAAACAGCAGAGAGATGGAATAAGTGTATTTGAGGGGAAATACCTACATACAATATGGTTTCTATCTTTAGTTTTTTTAGCAATTGCCATGCTGATTTCCATAGTGGTTGTGTTAGTTTACCCTTCCGCCAACAATGTAGAAGGGTTTCTTTTTCCCTGCAGCCTGTATAGCATTTGTTACTTGATTTCTTGATGATAGCCATTCTTTCTGGAGTGAGATAGAATCTAAGTGTTATTTTAATTTGCATTTGTCTACTAACCAGAGATGCTGGACATTTTTTCATGTGTATATTGGTAATTTGTACTTCTTTGGTTTTTTTTGTTTGTTTTTTGTTTTTATTTTGAGACAAGGTCTTGTTGTGTAATTTTGGCCTGCCTTGAACGCACTGTGTACTCGAAGTTGGCCTTGAACTCACAGCAGTCCTCCCAAGTGCTGGTATAGGTATATACCGCCATGCCCAGCTACCATTTGTACTTTTTTTGAGAAGTACTTCATTTGCCTGTTTTTTGATTGGATCTTTTATTTTGGAAGATCTGATTTTTTTGAGTTCTTTGTATATGCTATTTGTCCTTTGAGGAATATCTGGCAGGTTTTTTTCCACTTTCTGTAGGTTGTTCTTCACTCCATTGATTGTTTTCTTTGCTATGCAGAAGCTTTTTAACCCGACTTGTTGATTCTTGGTGTTATAGTTGTCTTGTGCACCTGGGGTTCTGTTCAGAAAGTCCTTGCCTATGCCTGTGTCTTCAGGACTTCTACCTATTTTGTCTTCCAGTAGATCATTTCTGTTTTAATATTAGATCTTTGACCTATGTTGATTTCAGTACATGGTGAGAAGTAAGAGTCTAGCCAGTTTTCCCAGGGCCATTTGTTAAAGAAGGATTTTTTTCCTTCAACAAATGTTTTTGACTTCTGTCAAAGATCACATGGCTAGCTGGGCATGGAGGTGCATGCCTGTAATCCCAGCATTTGGGAGGCTGAGGCAGGAGGATTGTTGTGGGTTTGAGACCACCGTGGGTTAGAAAGTGAGCTCAAGGCCAGTGAACTGCATAGTGAGATTCTGTCTCCAAAAAGACAGAAATAAAACACCCCAAAAATCACACGGCTGAATGTGCTTGAACAGAAGAGAGAATGAAGAAACAACCTCAAGAACTGTTTTCTTCAGTTGGTTTCTTTTTTTAAAATTTTTATCATGAATATATGTCGGATTTTGTCACAGGCATTTTCTGCATCTGTTGAGATAATCATGTGATTTTGTACTTGTTTTTGTTTGTTTGTTTGTTTTGATACTGGGTATTGAACCCATGACCTTGCACTTGACCAGGCAGGTGCTTGTGCTGCTGAGCCCCCTTGTTTCTGTTTATGTGGTGTATTGCATTATCGAATTGTGTGCCCAGTAGTCACGATGTGAGATCTTTTTCATGATTTGTTGAATTCTGTTTGCCAGAATCTTGAAGACTTTTGTTCCTACAGAGATTTTTCTTTTTTAATTGGGTCTTTATCTGGTTTTGGAATCAGAGTAATGGTAGCTTCTAGGAATGACTTTGGAGTATTCTATCCCTTTCAGTTTCATTAAGGAGTTGGAGGGGTACTGATGTTAGAAGTTCTAGCAGAATTGAGCTATAAATCTACTGGGTCCTGGACTTTCTTTGTTGGTATGTTTATTACTGCCTCAAGTTCATTGCCCACTATGGAGTCATTCAAGGTCTCTGTCTTGGTTCAGTTTTGGTAATGTGTATGTAGCTAGATATCTGTCTCTGTCTTGTAGATTCTCCCATTTGAGTATACATTTTTATAGAATTTTCTGATAATCTTCTGGATTTCACTGTGCCTGTTGTGATTTGGCCTTTTACATTTCTTACCGCATTGACATATGTAGAATTTCCTTGAAAATAGGACCCAGTACTAGAGATCAAAAATGCCAGCCATAATTACCTTGCCCTACCTGCCATTACAGAGTGGCTGTTGGGCAAGATAGTGACTTGTGGGTAATCCTCATGACACTCGCCTTCACTATGGTAATAATCAGCACTTACTTTCCAGTTAGGTCTTATTTTGAGAGGAATTTAGCATGTTTTTTCTTTCCTTCTTTTGATAAGATTGGCTCGGATTTGCCTGTTTATTTATTTGCAGAACCAGGTGTTTAATGCATTGGTTCTTTGAATTGCCCCCCCCCCATTTCATTAATTTCTGCTCTGGTTTTTATGATTTTTTTCTTAGTGCTAAGTTTGGATTTAGATTATTCTTGTTTATCTAAGAGCTTGAGGTGCAGCATAAGGTTATTTAATTGGGCTCACCCTGTTTTTTTTTTAATGTGGGCATTCACAGCAATAAGCTTTCTGCTTAGGATAGCTTTCTTTGTGTCTCATAGGTTTTGCTTTGTTGTACTGACATTGTCATTTAGTTCTAGGAATTGTTTAATTTCCTCCTCGATTTCTTCTGTGACCCATGTTTGCATACTTTTTGTGGGTTCTTTTGGCACTGATTTCTAGTTTCATTATAATATCTGATAATATGCGTGGGATATTTCAGGTTCTTCATATTTAATTAAGCATGATGTATGGGCCAGTGTCTTTATTTTGGAGAATGTTCCATGTGCTTTTAAGAAGAATGTGTATTCTCTTGTTAAATGGTACATGGTCAGTGTCTTTTAAGTCTGTTTGTTTGAAGGCGTGGTTCCACTGTTACTTCTTCATTGA